AATTAAAACCCTAATATTGATTTATTGCAAAATATAACAATGGTACTCTTATAATTATTCTTTCACTATTTTCCCTGACCATGCCGTTCTATGACAGATAATATCAGATTAAAAGGTTAATAATTGATCCAAGTTATGGGGTTCCGCCTGTTTTCAAACATAAGAAGTATTTAACCAATCATTTAATTAAAAGATAAAGTTAAATATATAGAAGTTAATGATTTGTTAGAAACTTGTCCAAAATCTTGCAGAATATTTTCTTTTCCCCTGAAGCAAAATCCACTACATCCCCAAAACGCATGAATGCTCTGATTTTTTTACATGGAACATCTGCCATGTTCATCATATCGTAGTTAATGATCACTAATTCCTTCCTACAGTCGGACAAGTAACTGTTCCAGATACACTTCCACTCATTTCCGGTCTGTAGGGAGTCCTCGTGTAAGTAATCGTCGGACAGGAATACGATGTAGTATCTAGAGACAGAAATCTGTCTGGCAGTCTCCTCGCATCTGATACAGCCCGGAGGCAAGTCACGTGTTGGGATGAATGCACTTAGTTCATTGCGTCTTAAGAAGGGTTCGATTCGCTCTTTGAGCCACAAATTTAAATCTTTGATTTTTTCGTCATATGAAATGTAAACAACACAATCTTCGTCCAACGTCTTCTTGGAACTTGTAATTAATCGTCTAGACCGTAGAATGACCTTTAATTCAAACTTATAAATGTGCACAAAAATGACGATGATAAATGCAAACACAAATGCTGAAGAACCGGACAACAGGAGAATGTAATTCGGCTCTTGACCAGGGATCTTACAATCAAGGCGTGAAAGATACGTTGTCAATAAATTTTCTTTACCTCCTTCGAAACAATAAAAGGAATGAGACGAGCAATTATTAGCTTCTTTTGTACGAATCCAGTCGTACATCCAATAATGTGAGCAGGTGCAATTCATAACAAAATTCCCCTGCTGAAGAAATACACACGGATCCAAGAAAGAAAGTAAACGAGGAATTCCGTGGACTTGCTGGGTTCTTGGGATTGAGAACTCTTGCAGGAGAGTAAATTTTTCCAAGGCTTCCATTTCAAACGAAGGTATAAATGGTAAATCAAGAACAGTGACTCGTTTTAAATAATGTTCATTTGTAATTTCTTGAATTGGGTTCCGTCTCAAAAAGAACTCGATTTCTTCACTTTCAGGTAGGATATGGGGAAGACGTTTCAGTCGAGCTCCTGTACATTTCATTTGAAGCGAAATTGTCATTTCTTTTTTTGATAATCTCCTTATTTTTGGTCTTTCAATGCATGAACACCCTGGGGGACATACAGATATTGAGGTATAATTACAAATCAAGTCTTTTATTTGTCCATTCTTTATGATACCTGGTATCGTTTTTCCTCGAAAGGAATCTGGTGACCCACAGGTGATACTGAAGTAGTCTCTCGACATTATCTGAATGTATGACTTAAAATACATTACAGGTTTGGCAATTCTACAATCGCATATCAAAGGGTTGAATCTAAAATCAAACCCAAAGTGATAAAGTTTTCCCAAATCAAGGATATTCGTAAAGCCCAATTTTCTTACATCTGGAAATTCTTTGACTTGATTGTGTGAGAAATCTACGTGACCTGGACCATATGTTTTATTCAAGGTCATATTCCAATTAAATTTGTTTGTAGCCATGGTCAGACTATTATTTGATAAGTCTATTTTACAAAATGGTCTTTCAAAGACAAAATCCGTGATGTCGACAGAAGTGAGTAGATTTCCGTTTAAATTAAGAGAATGAAAAGCCATGAATGCCAGAGCCCCCGTGTCAGTATAACTAATGGCATTATGAGACAAATTAACAAATCTCAGATTCCTGTTTTCAGTCAGTGAAATCTGCGGTAAAACTGTAATTAAATTCCAAGACAAATCCAGGTGTGTCAAATTTGGGAGGCAGGTAAGATGTGGTATTTCTAGAATAAGATTGTAAGAAAAATTGATCTTTGTAATTCCTGGAAAGTCACAGATATTCTTTGGAAAAACTTTTAAATACCTGTAGGGATACTCCAGAGCTATATTATTAGCAGACGTATTTCCTTCCAGGTATCCGTTTGTTGAAATGTTCAGGTGAGAGAAATTGTTGTTGTAATCAAGAATACTTTTAGAGTGACAGGCACAACAGGTTTCTATCGACGGTCCGGCAAATTCGGGGTCTTTGCAGTCAATTGGACAATAAAGAGGTAGGCCTTCCCATCCTCGCGGAATCCATTGAAAGGTTCCATTGGAATACGTTTCCCCGGAATAAAACAGAATTAATGAAAGAAACAGATTTACAAGATAAAAGACACAGGCTTGTGATGTCATGTTGGTTTCATTTCTCTGTAGAATGTTCGTCTATGTCCTGTGATTTTGCCTCTAATTCAGAACAACTCTGTTTGTATCCAGTGATTTATTCTCTAATTCTGTACAAGTCGGTTTGTATCTGGTGATTTTGTCTCTAATTTAGATCCCCAAAATCCCCTAGTTCATTTGAAAGTGCTTCCTCATTCATTTTTAACAGATTGTTTTGTCAAGTGAAACATTATCACTTTAATGTAATCCACAATAATACCAGCACACAATCTCAAATTTGTATCAAATCTCGTCACATACAAAAGTTTTAAATATCCTGAATAAGCTCTTGATGCATGTAAACCTTAAGACTTCCAAAAAAACTATTACATTTCACTTAATACCTGTTGTCCTCTGGTACGTATAATGTACAATTTTATATTTCATCTACTACCCGTTTCGAACTACATCATTATTTTAATTTATTACCTTGTAAAAGCTTTGAATCATTTTTCTTTATTATTTATATTTCTATCTTTTAAGCAATAAACGTATATCTTTGAATCTTCAGAAAGGTGTTTGTACTTTGACGTTTTGCGGAATGTATTCGTTTATATATTTTTAAGAAGTTTTCCAATGACCAAATCGGCAGTTCTTTAAAAATTTATTTTGTATTCATAGCAAAAGCAGAATTTGTGCAAAAAATGCGTGAAAAAAAGAAAACACTTCAACTCAACATTTAGATATATTTGACGACGTATATCAATGGTAATTTCCATTATTTTGTGGATACCACATATCCTGCTGGGCTTGAGATAAAAGATACCACAGAGTCTGACGCATCTGTTTCATATTTGAATATTCTACTCGGGAAAAAAAACGTTTATGGTAATCTAACAACAAAGCTCTATGATAAACATGATGACTTTAGCCTTTCTATCGTCAACTTCCCTTACTTATGCAGCAATATACCTTCATCACCTGCATACGGAGTTTATATATTTCAGTTGATTCGATACGTGAGAGCATGCTTTACGTGTGAACAATTTCTGAGGTAATTATTGACAAACAAGTTGATGAAACAAGAACTTCAGGAGTCTCGTTTAAAGTCATAATTTCGGAAGTTCAATGGTCGATACAATGATCTTATCACCAAAAACAATTTATCATTGAGTCAAATGCTGACTGACGTTTTTCATACTAATTGTTATTTCATTCTTTATACGTACAATGAACTGACGACGGATTTCCCGATCGTGTCAAGGAGCACACGGCGGGGGATGCTCACTCCTCCATGACACCTAATCCCACCTCTGATGTTTTGTTCCGTGTTTGCTCTGCTCCTATTTTGTATTGTTTTATGGACTTTTGATCTTGAATACTGTTCGTTATCTCCATATGTTTCATTATTTCGAATGTAATAAGACGTCTTTTATGCTACCTGCCTATTTTTTTTTTTACAATCTTTTTTTTTGGACTTTCGAGCTCTTTTACCTGACACTCTAATGCTTAACGTAGAACCTACGTCGTATGACATTATAACTTGTTAATGTGTTTAGCCTGTGCTAGATCCATTATGACGTCATGATTAATTAAATGTCACTTTTCCCTTACTTTACACCTTTGATAGAAATGGTAGAAAATACTGCATTTTGTAATTCACAGAATTCAATTCAAAATCATGCCGAAATAATCTTAATTCAATTTTTTTTTCTTTTTTAAATATTTTTATTACCCCAGTACATGTATATGTTGTGTCCTTATAGCCAAGGTTGGGGAGCCTTGGAATCTATAAGTTAATTTAACATAGTAGTTTTTACATATACATTAATGTAACATGAGGTTATTTTTACATACATTCATCTTTCATATTCCATTCACTCAATTGCGTGCATATGCATATATCATTGCATGAGAATTCAAATAAACAAAAGTATAGAATTCATTGTTTTGTCACAACTAATGTTGTAGGAGAAATAGACTAAAGTATCAGTATTATTACCTATGGAAAGCCATGCCCATCTTCTATTAAAATTGTCTAGTTCACAATTTTTGGTATAAATGAATTTTTCACGTTTGTTATAAATATAATATTTCAGATTTAATTCCCATTAGGGACGGTAGTTCTTTTTTACTCGTTTTTCTATAAATATGTCTTTTTGCTATACATATTATCACATTCAAAATGTGAAATATTTGTAATATTAACTAAGTAAAACATCAGTTTTGTTCAATGTGATATCTGAATGAAGTTTTTTTCCATGTTAATATATTATCCCATATTTCACTTACATAAATGCATTCCCAAAATTAATGGCCTAAAGTTCCACATGTACATTACATTCACAAAATGTACAAATTTCTGAGTCTGCAATTCCAATTTTATATAGAAATGTGTTAGTTGCAAGAATTCTATGTACAATTCTATATTGAAACCACCTCAACTGGACATCTTCAGTTATTTTAAAAAACAGAATATTTTGCTTTTTCCACCATATATTTACATTCATGTCGAGTTCATTTTCCCATTTCAATTCCCATTTTGGTTTTTTCCATTTCTGGTCAATAAAGATATCATAAAAATCTCTTGAACCTTGCTCATGTTTCTTAATGTTTTTTATAAAAATTCTGGATAATAAGGTTGTATATTTTGAACAATATATTCTATGATATAACCGAAATGTAACTTTTTCAATGCATTCTATTATTCCTAAAAATTGTGTAAAAGGTTTTAAACCATATTATTGACAAAAATGTTCATAGTTCATCATTGTACCGTCACTATTAAAAAAATCTAATAAACGATGCACACCATTGACAAACTATTGTTTGTAATAGACATTTTTGTTATAAATTCATATAGCATCATTAAACCACACAGAGCTAAGAATCGAGTTTTGACAGTCAATATATTTCCTAAGCTCAAAAAATGCCAAAAATATCTCTCCAAAACAGGTTTTTACATGTATGCTTTTGACAAGTTATTTAGTATTTGTCTTCCAAAAAGCACAATATTTGCTACATTTGGCAGAGTACTTACAAGCAAATCTTTCCAACTTGACAGACAAGTATCATTTAAAAGTCTACGAATCCATGTAATTTTAGGCTTTTACAGAAAGAATCAAGACATATCATTCTTAAACCCCCTTTTCATATCTTTGAATGATATCCTTTTTTGCTACTCTTGGAGTTTTATAATTCCATATATAATCATAATAAAATTGTTTCGATTTCCTTTATCTTTTCCCTGGAAGGATTTGGAAGACTAATTAGTAGATGTGTGATCTTTGGAAGAATCAAAGTTTTAATTACAGTAACGACCTGCTGTAGATAATTCGTCTAGACCATGACTTAATTAGTGATTGAATTTCATTAATTTTTGGACTAAAATTCAACTCGTACATATATCTTTACTATTCTAATTCACACAGTATGTAATACCTGAAACTGTAAATGGGTCTTGGGACCATTGAAGATTTTCAATATCTGTAAGATATTCATTTGATTCATTTGATAAGGATCCTATTTTCACATATTTAGTTTTTTCATAATTTGGCTTTAATCCTGAGTATTTTGCGTACTCATCCACTAGTAACAATGCTGACTTTAGTGAATTCTTGGTACCTTTTAATAATAATACAGTGTCATCTGCATACTAGTATTGCAATAGTTTATATTCTTTATCATTTACAACTATTTCTTAGATTGATACACTATTTCTTATCATTATGCCCATTATCTCTACACAAAGAAGAAAAAGGTATGGAGAAATAGGGCCACCCTGTCTGCATCCCCTGCCAATGTTAAAGAATTATGAGAAAAAGCCATTTCAAATAACACATAATTTTGCCTCTTTAAATAAGGTTCTTACAGCATTCTGAAATTTTTCACCAAATTTAAAGAAGGTTAAAACTTTGAAAAAAATTTCCATGAGACTGAGTCAAATGCTTTTTCGAAATCAAGAAACAGTATCATTCCTGGTGTATTATATTCATGACAATATTGAATGATGTCGTAAAGTAATCTAGAATTTTCTCTTATATATCTTCCTGCTTCCTTTTTGATTTTCATGGATAATTTTAATTAAAATGGGTTTCATTCGATTAGCTAATACTCTGGATAAAAGCTTATATGAAGTATTTAGAAGTGAAATTGGCCTCCAGTTTTTAAAATATTCTCGTGGTTTATGTCCTTTAGGTAACATTGAAATAATTCCTCGAGTATGGGATTTTGAAAGCTTACCCGAGGCAAGACTACATTTAAAAGAGTTAAATACATAGGACCCAATATCTGACAAAAAAATTAAAAAAACAATTCTGCAGTGAATCGATCTGTTCCTGGTGATTTGTCATTTTTGAATGATTTTAATGCTTCAAATATTTCCTGCTTAGTTTTTTCTAATTCCAGTTGATTTTTCATGTTGTCTGAGATTTTTTAAACATCCTTATCATGTATTAATTCTTCAAGATTAACATCAAGAAGATGATCTTTGTTTCCGTATAATGTCTTGTAAAAGTTTTTATCTCTTCCAGAATTTTATCTTGTTTATTAACCTCTACACCTTGTTCATTTACAAGTTTAAATATGTTTTTTATTACTATAGTTTCTTTTTTCAAGCGCACCAAAATATTTAGTAGGTTTTTTCCCTTCTTCAATCCATTTACAATAACTTCTTACAAGTAGTCCTTTTAATTCATATTTCATTATTTCTTCCACTTCTGTCTTGAGTTCATTTAATTAATAAATCTGAATATAACTGTGTTGGACAAATGTCGTACATTTCTTGTAGTATTTTTATTTGCGTGTGGAGGTTTACTTTATTTTATGAGTTGAATAATAGATAGTTAGATTTCTTATTTTCATTAACAGTACATCCAAAAATAAATCTTTGGGAATATTTAATTCAGCATCAGGTCCTGGAGTATAAGGGGGCATTGTGTATTCTGCTACTGTATCATTTATAGGTTTTTTAAAAAAATATATGCTTTGTTCCTTAATAGGGAATTATCAATTTTCCAAAAACCTCTACCTCCTTGAAAATCATTAATTCTAAATTCAATACTAATTATTGAATGGTCGGTTCTATACCCTGGAATGATCTTAACATTTTCCAAAATTGGCAATAATTCTTCAGATATAAGAAAAAAGTCTAGCCTTGCTTGTTTAATAG